GAGAGGGAGGGAGAGAGGGAGGGAGAGAGGGAGGGAGAGAGAGGGAGAGAGAGGGAGAGAAATAGATAGCAGATGACAGATTATAAACTTCTCAGTGTCCTACCACCGAACTGAGCTGATCTGTTCTTACATTTCTCCACTTTTTGGCCCTAAAGGATTGCTTTGAAAAGGCTGCTTCTGTCTCTTGCTCCCCTAACCTTCTTGGAAAACAGGACAACTCAAAGATGGAAAGTGGCATGGGAGAAGGCCTCCAGGGGCCCTTTTCTCTGGGAGCCATCCATGCAAGACTGAGGTGAAGGCCAGCTGGGTAGAAATGAAGTCAGAAGCTAACAGCACCTAGGGCTGAATGAATCTACTCTAATAGGAGCATGAACATTTACTGTGTATAAAATTATGCCCATGCCGAAAGCCCAATGCATGAATCTGAGTCAGCAGAGAGCACCTGGGAGCCAGGGAGTATGTGTGAGAAGAAAGTGGGGAGACACAGTAGGTGCCTGTGGAGAGGGGCACGCCTCAACTTCCACTCTGGCCTCTCTGCCAAATTCTATGGTCTTTGAGGGGTAAGACAATCATATTCCATCAAGGATACTAAGAAAATCAAAGTGGGGACAAACTCTGTACCTGTTACACTTAGTGTTTTTACTTTTGAGTCAATTTTATTCTTTCTCTCTTTTTTTTTTTTTTTTTTTTTTTTTTTTTTTTTTTTTACTTTTTATTGAGTTTACTGGTACATTCTAGGTATACAATACAGTTACATTCATTACTGGGATCTTGTACCTTTACATGACAGGTCTTGGTTCTCATTTTTTCCCCTTGTCCCCACCCTCCCTTCACCCCTATTCCTTCTCTTTTGAAAATATTTGAAGTTGTACCTTAAAAATCCAGGAAGTGCTCAAAAGAAGTGGGACTGTTACACCTCAATTTAGATACCTGAAAGTTTTAACCACAGGACACTACAGAAAGAGGAGAGCTCTGTTGGGAATTGGGGGCTTTGTGACCATGGCTCTGAACACCTCCTTCCCTGCGTGCAGGTGAAAAGAATCCACTGCCACCAGGGCTCTTGTGAGAAGAGCACACAGATAAAGAAATCAGTAGGGCACCTGACGTACACATGCAGTCTTCTACAAAGGGCTCACTTGGCACGAAAGGATGTTTATCTTCCAGCCAGGGAGCCAAAGCACAAGCAACAGAGAATGAAATCAGATGTTTATCAAAGTGGCATTATCGCATGAATGGCCACCAAGTATGATCAAATGATTCTTTCTATTTTTTAAAAAATTCCTTGTATTTTAGCAAGACAAGCAGAGTGCTTGCTAATGAAAGGGTCAGTTTTGGAAACAACTGTGGAAAACCTGTGGACTCAGTGTCTCTTTTAGCCACCCTGTTATACAGATACCCAAGACAGCTGCTAAGAGCCTCTCAGTTCATTCATCCTTCCTGGTATCCACTTGTTCAGCCAGTTCATATCAGCCTAGGTGATGCGACAGAGGAAGTTCTATTCAAATTTCAAATCAGAAATACTTACAACGTAAGAAAAAATCCATCAGAAATGCAATGAGAGATTAAATCTGAGAACAGCAAAAGAGGAAAAAAAATTTTTTTTTTTTGGCTGATCGGCAGAGGCTCCAACAGGCAGCTTGTGAGCCCATTAATGACTTGGCCTGCATCCTGGGTGTTTATTGATTCACAGCTTGTTTAACTTCTTGTATATTCCCAACCATTCCCCAAAGTGTGATATACCTCATCTACCATACAGTGGTTTAATTGCACTACAAATGAGTTTACTCAACCAATTAGAACTCCAAATACTGCTAAGATATATGCCCAAGATTCACAAAAGTGGTACTTCCTATTTTTTTTTCCAGGATCCCATTGCTAATAGAATTTTGTAGAATTAAACCCATGTAGCCATTAAATAAATGTGCACAGTCCTCCCCTAATAAGGCCTAGGTCATCTCCAAATATGTAAAGCACTACAAAAACAAATAAGCTAATAAGCAGAAACCATGGGCAACAGCATGCTAGAACAATATTACTAGGTACAAAGATTTCAATGAAGTCCTTGAAGAAAATAAAATATTATAAAACTATAATATTAGCATTTGTGGGCCACATCAAGAAATATGATATTTGACATAATTGTGAAATCAAATTAGTGAAATATAGAAAGGACTCACAAATACTTAAGTTCTTCACTAAGTTAATGGTGTGAAAAATATTAGTGGTGAAAAAATAGAAATATCCCTTCTGGCATAACAAAAATCACTTTATCTCATTTGCTCTTATGTGTGATAAATGGCAATAAATGTCTCTGGGGTTATTTACTGCTCTCCATTTACAGATGGAATTGGGATTAATACTTAATTAAAGTGGAATTCTTGGGCTGTCTAAAATGGATCAGGTCACAGTTTGCGCATTAATTACCCTTCTAAACTATTTATTAATAACTCAGAAGGATCTTGTTCCTATTGACCCTGTTCCCTGAGAAGGGGAATTGTGTGTCTATAAAAATGGATCAAGGAACTGGATGATAGGAATTCAAGGGTTCCCAATGTTCCTAACACCAATAATCGATGTTTAAGGAAATGGAAATGTTAATTTCTGATTTTAATATTACGAATGCACTAAAGTATTACAATGTACCTCATAAATATGTAAAATATCAATAAAAAATTTCTTGAAACCTATTTTGCACATTATGCAAAGATACAATATTAAAGAAAAAAGGAAAGTGGCAACAATTTAGTGCTTGCTATGCACTTAAATTAAGGTATTATTTGAAAGCAAATTCTATAATGCAAATCTAGAAAATAAATTTCTAGCTTATAGAAAAAATCAAATGGGTAAAAGAAAGAGCATTATATTATAGGGTAGGGTTCAATGTTAAAAATCCTACTATAACATAAGGACTAACAAAAAATAACAAATATATAGCTCTGAATTTTCAAACAGTCTTATGTAATAGTTTTATTTTCTTACAAGGTTGCCTGCTGGTCAGATAGGAAGTACAGGCTAATGGTAAATATGTGTGCATGTGTGTATCTGTGTGTGTACCTAGAGTATAAAATCACACACACACACACACAACCCCAGGAGTCAGGTACTTCTGAACCCAGTAGGGCCGAATGAAGGAGGAATACATAACATTTTTCTTTTACTTTATACAATATTTCTCTCCAACCTTCTAAAATAATCCATAGGTCCTTTGCTGGGTTTTCTACTGGAGTATTCGAGAAGAAATTATTTTGACAGCATATTATACCCATCAAGGAAAGTGCAGTGATCTGAAAAGTTCTTACACAATGTCTCTGTGGCATAAAATAAACATGAAGAATAAATGTATTACTCAGGCATGTTAAAATATAAGGGAGCTTTCCTTGAATTACTCACCCATAGGCTCCATTGCTAATCAATTTAATCGTTTCAAAATCACTTTCTCGAGGTTTCCTTCGAAGTTTCAGGGAAGCATTAGAGCTCTTGGGAACAAAATATTTATATTTTAGTTTAAAAGTTCAAAATTTGAGAGAATTATAACATTAACAGAATAGATAATACTGGAATTCTATGTTGTTTAATATGCTGATGTGGAGTATTCTAGCTCAAAGAACCTGGGAACAGTTTCAAAGATCAATTGCCACAAGAGTGTCTGAGCTCCTGCATTTAAGCCAACTTCTATTTCCAAGGGTTTAGCAGCAGGTTCCCCATGAACATGCCTTAGGTGTGATGGGCGAGAGGTGGCCGTAAGTTGTCTACAAATGGTTTGGCCCAACGGTTAAATGCACTAAGATCATTGAAATTTCCGCATTTTATTTTCCCTGTATAAATTATTCTAGTTAGTCTCATAACAGTTTGTAACAGACCCTCCTCTGGTTTCATTCAGCCAGAAAACAGCGGGCCCGAGTGGCTGTCCATGGCTGGTGGAGGACATGGCCTTTGTGCCTCTGATCGGGGCATGTCTATTTCATTCCTGTGGCAAGCTTTGTTAGGAAGAAGGAGCGGGTTGCAAATGGAACCCTCAGATGTAGAAAGCTTGCCTTTCTTTACTTCCATACCTGAGCTTTCACAATGGTTTAGATACCAGTGTTCTAAATGATGGTCTCTAAAATGTTTAGCTCAGAGGACAAAAAACACAGTGCTCTTAGTAAAAATCATCTAGTGCTTCTTTACCTTAACAGTGACAGGGGTCTGCGGCCCTCTGCAGAGTCCAGCATTCCTAGCCCAGCACTTGGGAAGAATTACATGAATCTCTTCTACTCAGCACAGTAGTCTCCCAGGCTGTCATCCCACTTTGTCTTTGGAAGATCTGGCATGCAGCCTTCTAGCTGCCTCTTTGCCTGAGCTCTCTCAACATCTTGTGCGACTGTAGTGTCTACAGAGGTAACACAGCCAACTCTCACCTACCTCAGGACTACCTGACCTCCTCAACTCTAGCAATCACACCTCTCGGCTCTTCCCCTTGGCCTTTAACCACACGGCCTAGCTTTGGTCGTCATCTACCACTGCTTCATCATAGGAAACAGCTCAGGACTGGGACAGCCACTCCCTTAGGCCTGCTCTTCCATAGCTTTGGACTGCAAGGCCGTGCTCAAGGCCCTCTGGCCTATGAACTCTTCTCTCCGTAGTGCTTCCTATGTATTCACTGACGACTCCTGTATCACTGAGTTCTTCACCAGAATGCCCCCTCTAAGTGTCAGAAGACAGCAAATATACAATGGCCAGTTTGATGGCTCTTCTCGGATATTTCAAAGGAACTTCAGTCTCAACACAGTAAAAGTTATAACAGTCATAAAATTAATAAAACAACTGTCATTTCTGCAGCATTTACTATGCCACGTTCCCTAAGGATTTTATATAGAATATTTCATTTAATCTTGTATAATTAATCTATTTTATAGAGGGAAACACTAAGGTGTAGAGCATCTCCCCATCCCTTTTACCTAGGAAGAGGCAGAGCCAGTTTTCAGATCTAGGTAATCTGAATTCATAGTCTGGACTCCCAGCCATCAGGCTAAACAGTCTGTGCCTGCTTTGTGACCACCCCCAACCTGCCCCATCCTGGCCATCTCCCGGGGTTTACTATTTAGGAGAATGGCCCCAGCCAAAAGGAACTCTTCACTGGCACCACTGCAGCCGCCTCTTAACTGACTTCCTCAGGGCCACTTGCCTATTCACTGCACTCCATCTGTTCTTTTTAAAACCATGACTCCAATCTGAACATTTCCTTGTTTACCTCCTTGACTAGTATTTATACATGTGCTTCTCTGCAGCTCAGTTGCTACTTTTTGCTTAAAAGAAATTTTAAAAACCCCAAACAAAACAAAAAACCTGACACATGTGAGCAGCTGGGACCTATGTATCCAGTTTTGACCCAAGCTCTCTATTCTCCATGGGCTCTCTTACTCTTAGCTGTCAGAGGCACCTTGTGTCTCAAATGTTCTCCGTATTTTTCATCCAAGTAATTTCTTACATGTCTGCTCAAGTATCACGTTCTTGCAAAATCTTTGGGGACTACCAGACTAACACAAATCTCTTTAGGGTGTATTTTAGCAGAACATGGTCTTTTTTTTCTTCATAAATTTTTCTCACGCTCATTGTTACTATTCTTTATCATGAATTCTTTTTGTAAATTTCTGTTTCTCTCTGAGAGTATGCTTAGTGCCTGGCAGTTTCTTGTATATGGAAGCAAAATAAACATTTGTTGTATAAAATAATTAACGTGGCAAGAGCTCCTGAAGCTAATGAAAGAAAAAACCAACACTGTATTTAACAAAATGATACTTACACTCACTGACTCGTCAGTTTCCGGTGTTTCTGCTGTCCCACTATCATAGTTCCCCAACTGAGCCATTTCTAAATTTAAGAATTAAAAAAAAAGCTTAAGAAAAATATTACAGTTAGACAAGAGTACTAAGGTAAAGGAAAAATGACTTCTTTACTACTACTAAAAAAAGAAAAGAAAGAAATTCACTCTGTAATCCAGTTTGGCTATGGGAAAATCTTATATCCAAGAGGGCAAGAACCAGCAACTCAGAGTCTGAGTTTGTTCATGCAAACCTTTTCCTGGACCTCCATTTCTCATGAATACCCAGACACAGGAACTTTGGAGATGGAACCTCTGCCCCAGCTGGCAGCATTTCACTGGCTGACACAATTACTATAGCTTGCAAATGGTTGGTGTGTTAACAACTCGGTTATTGTCAGATATCCAAGAGGCACAAGGTTTCCTAGGTTCTGAAAGGCATCAGAAGTCCTTTGGCAATGACTTAGAAATGATTCTCAACCTGACAGAAGAATTTCTTGTCTCGTTTCTTCACACCCACCGAGCGATATTCTTCCAGTCTACACTCAGAAAGTGTAGGAGAGGCAGCCATCAGGGTTAGGAGGGCTGTGGAGATAGAAGACTTGGAATATCACTACCACTGGCACTTACTGGCTGGGTCATTTTTTTAACTTTGGGCTCTTCCCTTGTGAGGTAGGAACAGTATTACTTATGTCATAGGGGTTTTTATGAGTATGATACACAATAATGCATGTAAAGCTTTCAGCATGGTGACTGGGAAAAAAATCAAGTGCTCATTAAATGTTGATTGTTATTTATTATTAATTATATTGTGTAAAGTATTTAGTTCTGGGCCAGATGCCACATGCTTGAAAGTAGCTTAAGTATTATCCTGGTGGTCTACTTAAAAGAGACAAAGGGTCTAATTGCCCAACTCATGGTAGAGTACATCCTTTCATCTGTGTAAGTAAATAAGAAAAACTAATTCACTTATTGTTCATTTTCATACTTTTTTTTTAAAGGTTTCATTTAAAAAGTTCAATTTCTACAATAGTCTTTTTTTTTTTTTTTTTTTTTTTTTGGTACCAGGGATTGAACTCGGGTCCTTGCGCTTGCAAGGCAGGCCACTGAACCGCTGAGCTAAATCCCCAGCCCTCTCCAATAGTCTTTTAATATTTCAAAATTGAACATGTATAATAAAAAGTTAGTTTTTAGCTATTTTCATATGTCTCTAAAATTATTTCCTAAAGATTCTTATTTCACATGTTCATGGTTTTATAAATACAAATGCCCTGCTTATTGATAAGAAATATAAAGCAAAACAATACTGGAGTGTTACTTTTAAGTAAAAATTTACAAAATGAAGACTTAAAAAGTAGAGACCGACACTACTTTCTCAGCTTATCTATAGGAGAAATTCTAGAATAAAAATAAATTTAATGCAAATTATATACTTTGTTGGTGCCATTCAAATGACGCCAACATCCACTGTGTCTAGTACCACAGATGTGCAGACTTTGAGACAAATTAAAACATACCCAGTTGGAAGAGTTCTTAAGGAGAAGACAAAATTTAATATTGTTTAATGAAACAGCAATCATGGCTTACATTTATTAAGCAATCACTATGAGAAACAATTACAGAGATGAACTCTTGTAATCCTCATAACAACTGTATGCATCAGTACTGTTATTATCCCATTTTTATTTTATTTAAGGAACTGAGACCCAAAGAGGTTCATGAATTGCATGATCAAGGTCACAGCCCAGTTCCAGAACTCTCACCCCTAACCTTCCTAAGGACAGGCCTTAGGAATATTCATTTAGAGGTCGACAAGAAAGGGAAGCACATGTAGATCAAAAACTATCCTCAAGAAAATTAAGTGTTGCGTTAAAAGAAAAAAAAAAACTCCTATTAAAAAGTTTATATTACCAAACTCCGAATGCATCAAAGATCAATATTAATTTTTTAAACTCCTTATTAAGGCACATAAATAGGCCTCTGATCATTCACCTACCAAAGTTCAGTCTCCAGTGATATTTACTGCCAGGTAAGAAAACTGAAAACTAGCTCCATCTACAATTCAAGGGCTGACGCAGCCTTAACGATAACGGCGTGAAGCGTCACTGTAATAGGTTTTGACAGCCTCCCCCACTCCAATTATTTTCATAAAAAAGCAAATTAAAAGATGATTCTGTTTTAAATAGAATTTCTGCTAAATAACTATTATCTGAGAAATACATATTATTTGTAAGCAGTGGGTAGTAATGGAATGGAACCAAGACTCAGCTTTTGAAGCAGGAAGCTAAAGCATCATTTTGTAATGCCTGAAGAGATTTTAAAACTCATCTAAATACCATTAAACGTCTGCCCTTTTTATTTCATTGATTTAAACCATTTCTGAAGAGTCATGATTCAAAAAGGTAAAGACGGTAATTTAAAAGCCATAGGGGAAAATCTCTCCCCAGGGAATTTTTGAGAAAAGCAGCCAACAGTCTCTGATAAGCGATGAATCTGTTGTGGTATTGCTTTCAATACAGTATAAATTTATCTGGCATTATCTCCCAGTAATGCATGCATCATTTCACTGGGAGCAAAGATAGGATGGCTATAAGAGCAAACAAAGCAGGAAGAACAGGAGAGAGCAGGGCAGAGAACAGCAGGCTCCCCGGCTTTAGACAGGAAAAATCTCAGCGTCAACATTTACCTCCATCACAAACAGTTGAGCAGGATAAACACTGTTTGCAAATTCAATTTAATGAACCAGGAAGACAATGTTGCATTTAGGAGCCAGTGATTGTTTATGAGTTTTTTGGCAGTATATAACCTAAGTGTGGTAAATAACAATCCCAACTAATAATGAATAGGAAAAGATGGGAGTGAGGTTAGTAATATTAGATTTTTGAAAAATAATCGAAAGGATGCTTCCTATTCTCTGTATTTAATAGAATTAACATATTGTTTCATTTGAAACAGCCATAAATTCTTCTGTAAGCTATTTAAAATTTTTTTAAAGTTCCCTTTTATCACTGCTTCTCTTGTATATTACTATTTATCATACTTTGAGACAAATAACCAAAAATCAAAATATCAATATTATACAATTTAAAATAATCTTCATCAGTTGTGTCGTTCCCAAATTAAATTTAAATGTCAAATTTAAATTAATAATAATTAGCTTTTTTAGTGATGTTTTCAAAATTAAAAGTACTCTTGGGAAATGTTCAACTCAATTTTGCAAGAGAAAAAGTACTCAGAGAAAACTGAAATACAAACCCTTCTGGGACAGTCTGACATTCTCAGACTGACAAACTGCTAGGCCCCAAGCCCTGTCCCCATTCTCAAATGGAGGCATGGTCATTTCTTTCTCAGGACTCAACTTATAGCTGTTTCCTTCTAATCACAACTGGTGCCCAAGAAGGAACTTTTCAATGGAGATGCCAAAATAGGAGAGGAAAAAAAAAAAAAAAAAAAAAAAAAAAAAAGACTGGCCACTAAGTCTTCCCATGAGGCCCAGATGTAGAAACAACTCAACAGTCAAACCCAACCAAGTACTCACCTTCCAGAGGGTCCTTATTGAGTCCCAGTTGGCTGATGATGTACCTGGGAATGTCAGTTTTGATGCCCTGTCCTTCTTTTGCATGACCTTCTGCTGCTTCCAATAGGTAATAAAATTCTTCAGGATCAAATTCCTACCAAAGACAAACACAGATACAGTTCTTTGAGCCAAAATGGTCTGAGGTTTTATTACATAAATTCCATTTACAACATAACTGCTGTGTAAACATGATTGTAGTTCATGCAGAAAGGTTACTTGCTTTAAAAAGTACATAATTCCCATATTGAAGCCAACAGAGTATGGTACATTTATGTAATTGGTAACTCAAAGATAATGATCATTTCCAGTATACTTCTAATACAACTTTTCAGGTACTATGTGCACTGACGATCTTTATCTCATTGAGAAAGAACACGTCTGGGCTGGGGTGTAGCTCAGTGGTAGAATACTTGCCTATAGAAGGCCCTGGGTTCAATCCCCAGTACCTCATACACACCAAAAAAGGTCTGATTCGGTTTGTGTGTGTATGTTTTGTGAGCTGGGGTCCAGTTACTTTTCCCAGGCTGGTGCTGAACTCCTGACTGTATGCCTGTGCTACCATTTCCCATTAGATCCTATTTTTATTATTATTTTCTTTATTTGTGGTACTAGGGATCAAATCAAGGGTTCACATCACTCTAAAATATATGCTATACATTGTTGTGTTATGAATAATTTTATTTTTTGAATGTTTCTGTCCATGCTCTTTCCCATTTTAATGCCCCAAGTAAGCACTTTTGGAATTTCAGCATTTCACCTGACAATTACTTGAGTTTCTAAGGGCCATATAAAAATACACAGTACAAGTGAAATAAAGCCCAACCAGTGTAAATGTTCAGTACCCTTTATAGACACTTAAAAGGACAAAGCAAGGCCATAGATGATGGGTTTAAGAAGTGTCACTGAATACTCTGAAACTCTAGTTTCTCTATACTGAACTCTATACTGAAAGCAACATTTCCAAACATACTTCTAAGTCCACCCATTTCCGTCTTCAAGAAGTTATATTTTTACTTTTTCTCCTGGGATGACAAGTGATTACTATAAAAAATCCATTTCCTCTTTTAAGGTAAGATTTGATCTTAGCCTATGACTACTGTCTAGAAAAATAAGTTTTAATGCTACGTGGCTTTCTCCCCTAAATAAACTGTGCATTTCAAAAGCTACACAGCAAATGCAGTAAAAAGTAAGTCTCCCATCAGACTATCTTGCCAGTCATCCAGTTCTCCTTCCCAAAGGCATCAACAAAATTTTTTTCCCTTCATCCTTCCAGAGAAACTTCAGCTGAAATGGTGCATTTGAGTTTTTGATCCTAGGACTCCTGTCATTGATGCAAAGCCCCATACCCCACCTTCTTCCTCAGGTCCCCCCCGACTGCGTCTCATCAGGTGTTGGTACATATTTATGGAACTATGAATACTCAAATATTGTAAAACATCATAAATGTTAATTAAAATAGAACAGAATTAGTGATTAACTCCATCCATATGTGTGTAGGGGCCTGTGTATATTTCTAATGCCAAAAAATGTACTGTACATGGAGTTGTAATTATTTTAATGACTAATAGAACTTAAAAGTGAACTTTAATGCTATATTTATAGTTCCTTGAAATAATTATGTTCAAAGCTTCATATATGTTTACAGTATAGATTTGAAGCTCAGTCAAAATTTCATAAAACAAAAATTTGAAATAGCAAAATGGTCACTGGCCAAAAGTGTATCAGTGAAAAAAATGAACTAATCTTAAAGGTTTCATTCTTTCAGATCTGGTTGATGACCTTGGCTCATTTTTGAAATGTGTAATAACCACAGGTCATTATTTAGTGCGTCTCTGACTTGCCCCTCTCTAAATCTCAGGAACTCTGAAAATAGGAGGCACAGTAAATGTTTTAAATTAGCTGTGACATAAAGAAATTATGTGGAGATAAGGTCAAGCGCATTGTTTTATGATCATCTTTTGAGTTTGATGAGAATGTGATATGATGACTATCACTTAATACAGCACGAATTCTAGAATTCTTCCTTAAAATGAGAAAAGACAAGTCACATGTGGACGTCACCAGAAACATTCACTAGTAGTAGATCCTCCTGACTCTTTCTATTTAGCACTGGTGGTTGAAGTTAAATGAAACTGGAGATTTCTGATGGTCACTGCTTTCCTACAGTTAACAAAAAGTAATGGAGTCACATCTAAAGGCAACTTACCAGGCACTCTAATAGACGAGCAGGCCGGGCAATAACAATTAGGATCTTTCGGACTAGCTGTTTAATAAATGCCAATTCTCCACTTTCCGAGCGATCATGAGCCTATGAAAAAGTAATGAAAAGAATAATGATACAGACTTGCCCTACTAACTAGAAAAGAAAACCAGAAAAACATGCTAATTAGATAACTACAAATATTAAAAAATTAAATGATTCAGAAAATACTTTTTTTTTTTTTTTTTTTTTTTTTTTTTTTTTTTTTTTTTTTTTTTTTTTTTTTTTTTACCCAGC